CGGTGTATTCTGAGTTGTGTGAAGCGTTTTGGACAAATATGGAAACAGAAACATCACAGTGAGCAAAAAACACAGTTTCCAAAATCCTACAACACTTTGTTTCTCTTTCATTTTGCATCTATGAACTGAACAAGTCGAGCATTACGCTGAGGACACAGGAGTCAGATTAGTGAGAGGACATTTAGGGACTTTGACGGTCCGGTACTGACGACATCCTGACTAGAGAAATGGACAGTCAGAGGAAAAGGAGGTGCAGCAGAGAGGGGGTTTGTCTAGAATGCAGTTGTGTTGTCTATCCACAGAAAGCGCTGTGTGGTCCAGCCCGACCTAGTTAGCTAAGATACGGACACCAGGAAACATGACTGTAGTCCAGCTCAGTGAGCCTGCTGCAGGGTTCAGGGTTAGTCTGGATGAAGGAGGAGCGCTGACACAGAAGGGACGCTAACAGACTGATGATGGCAGCAGGGTTACAGGGCGATTACAACTCACACCTGTTTTCTGTCCACTCTTCAGCGTACAACGACAAGATTGTGGCATTTCTTCGACAACCAAACATCTTTGAGATTTTGCAGGAGAGGCAGCCTGACCTCAGCCGTAACCACTCACTCAGGTACACACACCTTCTGTGCTTTCTCTGCTCTCATCATGACCAGAAGGCTGACCTGCACAAGTCAACGTGATTTCTGATTCTCATTAGTTAACTTTTATATATATATACTGAAAATAGAAGTAAGTTAAAATAAATCATTTGAAAAAACTAAAGGAAAAATAGGAATTAAGAAAATTTAGAAATAAAAGCACACATTTAAGTCCCTATAACAGAATACATACACACTGAATGGTAAACGGACTGCACTGATCTGTGCTCTTCTAGCGTAGCAGCACTCAAAGGCCTTTACGATGTTTTCTCATTCACACACATTCACACACCAGTGGTGCTAGACATGGGACACACTATGTTTACTCGATGAACCGCTGATAGCTGTTGGACGCAGTCACCAGCATCATTGTCAGTGTTATTGTGACGACAGAGACAAGGTGCAGCTGATCCGTACAGATGGAGTGTCAGGACTGGCCAGGCTGTCAGGAGATGCTGACCTCGTCATGCTGCTAAGGTGAGATGCCCCTCCTGCCCTCCTTCTCTAACCCCAACCCTGCCTCTCTGTTAGCTTCTCTTTTTTTTACTTTCCTCAAATTCCTTCTTTCTATTTTATGATATATCTATTTTTTATTGTATATAGTTATGTAGATTCTTCCAGTTCTTATTGAACTAGTTGTGGATCATCTTTCTCTTTGATTTATTTCGTTTCCTCTGCCTCGCTCTCAGTCTGAGCTGCCCGATTGAATTAATTCAGTTTATTGCATTTCTCTCTCTCTTTGTCTCTTCCAGTCTGTTTGAAGATGAAGTAATGTCCTATGTGCCTCCACACGCCTTACTTCACTCCAGTTACTGTCAGTCACCTCGAGGGTCGCCCGTCTCCTCACCACAGAACTCACCTGGTAAAGTCACATCAGTGCTCCGTGTTCGCCTTAAAAGATTGTTGTGTTTGAGTCTGGTGTTAGCATCGAGTCTAGTGTTAGCATCTAGTCTGGTGTTAGCATCTAGTGTGGTGTTAGCTTTGAGTCTGGTGTTAGCATCTAGTCTGGTGTTAGCATCTAGTCTGGTGTT